ACCAACTCAAGTTGACCATGGAGAATAACCCTTCCTTTCGGACTTTTCTGACCATGCCACATGCTGTGTTCATGCCCATCATTCCTGTGATTCAGGGCTGGGCAGAGGGGATGTGGCCAATGGAATTCAATGCTCGCAATTTCTGATTTACAGCCATAAGCAACTGGATATGCCTCCTTGCTATTCTTAAGCTATCCCATTAACTGGCATAGACTAGGAAGTTTCCAGGATGGTGTGAAGTCAGCTGTGTCCCAGCAGAGCACAGCACTTGGGCCCAGGGAAACCAGTCCTCCCTCCCGGTGTCAGTAGCACTGTGAACTTCAGGAGCTCTACAGCTCCGAGCTGACCGTAGCTAATTCTGAAATTTTGGGAGGACAAATCTGTTTTGAAGGAAAGGTCTGATTTTGAGCATTTAAATTAATGGCCAACTTCTCTGTTGTGATTTGGTAGGCAGGGGAGAGGGATGGTTCTCATGTCCCTTCCTGCACATGAGGACCTATCTCCAGGAAGAGAGCTCGTACATCACCTGCTGACCTGCTGGGATCCATCCTGCACATCCCTGGAGGGAGGGCTGGCTCCCCACCTCACTGTCATCACTGCCTGTGCCCCCCTAGACATGTACCGCCCCACACATGACCACGACCATGACCACAGCGGATCCTGTCCTCTCTGCTGCCAAAGAACATGGAGCTTCTGCTCCACGTGTCCCACAGCAGATGTGCCGTAGCTAGAACATGAGGGAGTGCTCAGCAGCCAAAATTACATCCAGAGGTAAATCTGCAAAGGGTAGCCACTGGCTCTTCAGCTGCCATGTATTGGTGTGGTCCTGCTGCTTATCTGCAGGGTGATGCCACCTTGCATCAGGTGAGGTGCACCAGAGTGGCTCCCATGACCATGGCCCATATTAGAGTCACCTTGATTTCCATCAGCCAGTGTTGTCGAAAGCGAGAAGCTCTGAAGCACAGAAGAGAATATCTTCTGTGCCACAGTGACATTTTTAACTTCAGGCTCATGTAGGGTGAGGCAACGAGGAGTTCCCCAGTTATTTGCAGACTACTTTCCATTTAACGGCACCATATTGCACCCCCCAGCATGGGATTTGATCTCCTCCCATTATTGGTGTGAAAGTACAAACGCCCATGTTCAACAGTGAGAATAAGGACAGACATGCTAATTGCATGTTTGCAAGATGTTTAAGAGAAAAAGCATTGAACTTTGGGTTGGCGCTCCTACATAAAAATAAGTTATAACATCATGCAATCGATAAAAAGAAAAAATAGAAAAAAAAAACAGAAGGAAATGAAAACAAATAAAATAGCCTACATGGTGGTTTGTAATGGATCTGACAACTCTAGTGGCTGCTTCAGTGGCATAAACACACATTCCAGGATGCTGTATGTTTTATATTGTACATGTTAAAATATTTAGTAACTACCTTGCTATAAACATTGTTTTGATCTCAAAGTGCACCGTATTTTAAAGCCTGTTGTACTCCAGGAAGAATTATATTCTCCAACCTCCTTAATAAAAGCCACAATCTATGATGCTCTTGATGTGCACAGGCCCAGACTACACAGTATGATGACATTCTTCAAGAGGCCTTTAATGAATTAATGCCTCTCCAAATGGTTTTAAGCTTACAAAAAGAAGATGTGTGCATGATCCTAAATCATTTGGAGCCATTTTATTCAGTGCCTATTGATTTTAGTGCCAGTAAACCTCACTGCTGCCTGCCTCTGATGAGTATTACATTATATCCTCCATAGAACACAATGGGATTTAACGGCGCCAAAAATGTAATTTCAGCACAAAATCCAGAAGTCATTATGACATCAACTTACCTTTGTCTTCCAAACTTAAGGAAACTGAGAATCAAACTTCTGAAGAAGCTTACTCCTCCGTCTTCAGACTAGTAGCTGGGGTTGAAATGGGCTTAAAAATCAGAAACACCAACGTTGGTGGGTTTTTTCTCACACAGGCTTTATATGGACTTATTATTTTAATAGTGGTAATGACAGAGAAAAGCTGGTTGCCCCTATGCTAGGTATGCATTTATAGAAAGAAGCTTCTTCTCTTTTCACCTTAAGGGGGAAAATATTCCCCCTCTTTGGGGGAGTATTGGTGGCAACAACACTGGAGACATACAGAGGCAGACCCAAAATATGCTGAGTTCCTAAGATGAGGAATAGATGATAAAACCAGTCAAGCCCAAATATCAGAGAAGAGGAACTTTGGATGTTTTCACCCCATCTCACCCCTCAGCTGTACCATTCCCAACCAGATATTTATGCTACTCTAGAGCCTTCCCAACGAGTTCCAGGAGAAACCTTTTTCCTTCCCAGTTACAGAGTCACAGAATCTTCATGGTTGGAAGGGACCTTTGAGATCATCAAGTCCAACCAAAAAATCAAACAAAAAGAAACAAACAGAAAAAATCCCCAAAAAACCCCACACAAACAACCACCAAAACCAACACCTCATCACCACAACAATCACCACACCCAGAGAGTTGCTGCTGAAGATGAGAATACACCTCATTTCCTCAATTAATGATACATCTCCTTCAGTTGTGCTCTTCAACCTACACTCAGCCCTGGCCTGAAACCACAATGCAGCTGGTTAAGCAGCAGGATACAGCCAGCCCCTGACCTCCCCAAAAGTGCTGCTAGGGGCTGGAGGGCCCCCTGGCTCTGAAGTGTCGTGGGTCTCCCATTGCGTCAGCCCTGGCAGAAACAACTTTGATCATTTCCAGCAAGAAGAGATAAAAAGAGGAATCTTGGGGACAGAAGCTGCAAGCCAAGTAATTCTGTACCCTGGGAATAGACATGGATATAAGACCCGTGGAGGTAATGGATCTGTGGCAAAATGGATTATCCTTAGGTTGACCTGATCTCCTTATGCAGTGCCCGGCTGGGGAGGAGACCCGGGGTGAATTCACCAGCAAAAGAGGGACAGACTGATCTCTGTTGGGAGCGTTTCATCCCCACTCAGCATCCCAGGATGGAGGTGCAGAGGGGATTTGCCCGCTGCCTGCCTTGCTGCGCTCCTGCCTTCCGGTTAAGTACCGCTGCGAAACTGAGAGACACGGGTAAGAGCCTTTCAGCAGGCAATTAAAAGCAGAATGTTTGCTGTAATATATAAACAAGCCCATTAAGCCTGACTTTAATGGGGCTGAGATTCTGTGATAAATAATTGAAAAGAAAGCTTAAAGTGAATTTCAAAGATTTTTTTTTTCCATCCCCCTTTTAAAATGTATTTACAATACTTCAGTACTTTATATAGCTTGAATGTTTAATCAATTGTCATTTGAAGAGAGTTCAGTTCCTGGAGTTTTGTGATATATATGTGCTAAATAAGCCACTCGAATGGCAAAGATACAGAGCGGCAGCTCTTGGGTTGAGACAAATTTGTCACAGTTTGTAGTGGCTTGTGCATGGGAAAAGCTTGCTCTCAGCATCTCAGCTGCTCCCTGTAGATTAAAAGGGTCTTGAATCAGCTGGAATTTCTCCTGCTGTAGCACATACAGGAGTATGAGGTAGAAGTGGACAGGGACCTGCTAATTACTCACCTCCTCCCCGGGCCTGGCCAGCCCCTGGCACAAGCTCTGGTATCTCTATCAGCTCCAAGGCAAAATCCCAGCCCTGCTCCAACCAGGCCAGAGGGACAGCAGTGGAGAACGAGGGAATGCTTGGAAAGAGCAGCTGATGTTTATTGTGCACTAAACGTACGTGTCAGGTGCCTTGTTGTAGGTACTTTTCCAGGGTTGGTTGTGATTAAGGATGTCAGGGCTGAGGTGCTGTTCCCTTCTCACTGAGAGACCGTTTATCCGGCTTCCATTAACATGAGGCCTGATGAGACAGGAATGTCCCTCAGTGCCTTTCAACACACACATTTGAAATATCTTTTAAATTAGCTGAGACTTTGTGCTTCCCATCGACTGTGCAGGTTCCTGCACTGAGGCTAAACTGGCGCTGCCACAGGGACGTCACTGGAGTTTTGCTGCAGCCCCTACGATGGAGTTTAAAAACCCTACGTCTTCTTCTTCGTCCTTCTTACTCTCCTCTGACCTGTAATCAGACCAGAAAGATGCTGATCTCTATTTTACAGTAGACAAGCAGGCTCTCTCTAAACCTTAGAGCTCAAGTGTGGCTTTAAGAAGCTTTTTTAATAGGAGAAGTTTTATGAAAAGTCTCATACATGTGTTAAGGTGCTGAAGTGCTTTGGGGACTTGGGGTATGCAGAAGCTTATTGATGACTTCTCCCAGGCTTCACCTCCTACTTAAACGGGACTCAATAGGGAACTTTTGTACTGTTTTTTTACCTACTTGTGTTCTTTAAAATGACTGTTTCTCTGCTGCAGTGACCTGGAGACTGCTGTTCCCTGCCTTAGCTGGGGTGTTAGCAGCAGCGACCTCCCCATGGCTTAGCGGGGATCTAACTGGCAGCAGAAGAGTTAATCAGAAAGAGAGGCTCTCTAATGTGAACAGACTGGCACAGTGCTCTCCCTGCTTAGGAACATAGCCATAGTAGCCCAGATGGCTTTAAAAATAAAATAATTGTATATGTAGATATTTAAAATGATAAAAACAAGCAAAGGAGTATGCAAATAATGGGAAACTCACAGCAGAAGGGGTTGAATCCTGCTCCGAGCAGCTGTGGTGGAAATGGGTGCAGTGTAGTCCTCGCTCTGCACCGCTGGGCCTGAAATCACAGCTTGTTCCCACAGAATCCCCTAATCGTTTGTTCCATTAACTCATATAACTGCGTGGGACTAGAGCAGATTTCTCAATAAAAAAAATGATGGATAAGTAAATTGGGAGAAGCACTCTACCACTTAAGCAGGTGTGAAAAGATTGACAGTCCCCGGGCTGCTGAGGGAGGATTGTGTGCACTGACTCGGGGGTGTCGCTGTGCAGACAAGCTTCAGCGTGGCTGGGGGAAAAAAGCCTCAGTTTTGGGGTTTGTTTTTTTTTTTTTTTCTGTTTTGTTTTTTTTCCAAGGGTGCATAAACGGGAAATGGTGATGCTGGAAGAGGATGCAGGGGAGCTGCGGACACCCCGAGAGCAAACAACATGCAGCACAGCACAGGCTGCAGCCATGCACGACCAGGAGCCTCCAGGCTCTCCTCATCATGACAGTAAGTGTGAAACCTGGAAGTTGGGGAGCTCTGAGAACTGCAGACACGTGTCTGGGTGTGGAATCCCACGGGGCTGTCCCCGTGCCAGACCTGAGGGCAAACTGGGACACGCTCCTCTTTTGGTCTGTTGGGCTACTGGATGGTAACACCTTCCACCTTCCATGCAGGTAACACCTGCAAAAGCCACCATGTGGATGAACTAGAGGCTTATTAATAAAGCACTTATCTTAAAAGTGATAGTGCCTTTGATGCCTCTGTGTCCCACACCGCCCAATCCAGCCCTCCATCTCAGTGGGGATTCTTCTATCTGATAGAATCAGATCCCCCAAAGGTACACATCGGACTTCACCATCCTTCCACATCACCCACCAAGTGCACCCAGATTGTGGGCAGACAGAAGTGTTCCCTCCCTCTGTTTTTGGGGATGAGATGTGTCCGAGCAAAGCGTGCCAGAGCACATCCCACAGGCAGATGTGTCCTGGAGGGTGAGCAGGAAGGCTGGGGTGAAGGCAATCCAGCAGAGGGAAAAGTAGCATTGGTGAGGATACTCTTGTTTGTGCCTGACAGACACGCTGGCCCTTTGGGGAACCGGCAGAAATTATGCAGCAGCAGGCTCGATTGCATGGATAATGTAGTCATTAAATGGGAAAAAATTTGTAGGCCTTCTCCTCTGCCTTGGTTTAAAACCCAGCCTGAGCTCCTACCTTCTCTTCAGGGGGGGAATTAGGAGGAGGGCACAGCTTCTCTGCTTCCCTTCGGGGGTGGTGAGCTGCAGGAATGGAGGAGTCTCCTGAGGTCCCACAGCATCATGGTGTTCGACTCTCTCCTCACACGTGGCTCGTAGCTCCTGCTAAAAGCATAGTTTGAAAGAGGTATATATCCCTTTGGCTCACCGGATGCTTCTCCCCCCCAACATTGGTATCCAGCAGCTCCTTTTCAGGCTCCTCTGTGCTAAAATTCCCACCACAGCCCTTTCCATTCAGCATTTCTGAACACTTACAATGTGCTCAGCAGCTAATTAGCAAGACCTGTCCGTGACGCCACTCAGAGACAAAAATAGCCTTGCCATTTCCTTGCTGCATCCAGGGAGCCAGAGGCAACACGACATCCTGTGTCTCCTCCTAGGACCATGCTTCTCACCGACAGCCAGGCTGCAAAAGCATGAGTGCTCCCAGGGCTGCTATGCTGCTCACTGGGCATGCTTGTGGGGTACTGTCCCTGTCCCCCTCCTTGTCCCCACCGACCCAGCTCACTGGACGTGCACCTTCTCCATGCCCTCTTGGTGCATCACTGCCATTGCAGCCTTGGGCTGCGGGATGCTGCAGCAGGGAAACATCCCTGCGATGGTGAGAAAAAAAAAAAGAGGGAGGGGGATCAGGATTAATTTTCCTACACGGTGCAGAGATTTATTGAGTGAGAAACAATGCGTCGCCTAATCCCTTGGCAGGGGGAGCCACTCCAGCTAACAACTGCTCGATAATTAGCGGTGGGAAATCCCCCACTCCCTCCTCTGCTCTGCCTTGGAGGTATCTCGGGCGCTATCTAATCTAACCTGATGTGATGAGCAGGTCTCAGCATCCTGCAAGCCCTGTCGGGGCACTCTGCCAGCACCAACGATAGGGGTTTTGGGCAGCATGGCTGGCTGCTGTCCCTCCTCTTGGCCACTCTCCAGCTGCACCCTTCGACGGTGGCAGAGGAGTGCAGACAGCCCCAGGACACCCCACCAGACCTCCTGGGGTGCCACAGGGGCGAAGAGGCTTCCTTGAGCATGTTTCTCCTGGCTGGGTTGCTTTTGCTGGGCTTTCCTGCTTGGTGGTGCTCGTTATACCGTTTTCATAGAATCATAGAATCACAGAATGGTTACAGTTGGAAGGGACCTTAAAGATCATCCAGTTCCGACCCCCTGCCCTGGGCAGGGATACCTCCCACCAGACCAGGTTGCTCAAAGCCCCATCCAGCCTGGCCTTGAACCCCTCCGGGGATGGGGCATCTGCAACTTCCCTGGGCAACCTGTTCCAGTGCCTCACCACCCTCATAGCGAAAAATTTCTTCCTGGTATCTAATCTAAATCTCCCCTCTTCCAATTTAAAACCGTTGCCCCTTGTCCTGTCACTGCACTTCCTGACAAAGAGTGCCCTCTCCAGCTCTTCTGTAGCTCCCTTCAGGTATTGATAGGCTGTTATCAATAGCCTGTTTTAAACCCAAAGGTCGGAGTGTTTGCCACAGCAACCCTCATGGGATGCCTTCTCCCCGGGGAGGGGACAAGAGGAAAAAAGTATTTCCCAAGTCCACGCACAGAAAAAAAAAAAGATAAATAACTGCCTGTTACATGGCTGTGAGCTGCTCTCGTCCTGTGACGTGAAACAGGGAGTCTTTCCCAGGGCGGATGGCCACGGCCTTGCTGGAGCCACATCTGCTGGGAGGGAGGTGATGCTCTCATTCCAAGCCAGCACCGAGCGCTGTGATGAGCAGGGAAAAGCAGCAGTCAGGCCGAGAGACAGGCAGAAGAATTGTAGGTGCCAGGCAGAGCAGGCTGCTGGAAGCCAGAGCGATTGCACCGTGTCATCTGCTGGGTCTCTGTAGCTGTTGCTCGTCCGTTGCAGTGAGCGGTTCCCTTACAGGTCCTGAGGCAAGCGGCAGCAGCGAAACCCAAGATGTGCTCTGGGGTGGCAAAAGAGGCAGGCAGAGTCCTGCTGGAAAAAAATAAAAAAACAGCCCGAGGCTGGCTTCGTTGCACAGCTGATGTGAAACAGCAAGGAGCAGCCACAGCCATATGGTGTTGCCACCGCCGTGCCTTTCCCAACCGCAGGTGTCCACGAACTGGCAGTCAGGAAGGTAGTTAAAGGAAAAAGATGTTTTACGGAGTAATTCTCCAGTGTTGGTCCTGAGTGAAAAGCACTAATCGGTTACAGACGTGAAGGTTATACCCGGCTCTGGGAACTTTTCCTCCACCTTTTTCTTGTTGAACCTCAGCAGTTGCTTGCAGCAGGGCAGCCTGAACTACCCCAGAGATGCAGTCCCCTGGGGGCAGCACCTCGTTGGGTGTCTACAAGCTATTCCTGAAATGCATTTTTACACCTCTTGCTTCTCTGTTTTTGTTTTTGTTTTGTTTTGTTTTCTAAATGGCAAAGCTCTGACAAAACCATCCCCAGGAGCAAAGACTTTCAGAAATGACTAGTGGTTTTGGATGGCGCTTTTTGGGTACCCTTGTGAGAGTGAGCTGCTGAGGGTATAACTGTTTGGGTCTTGTGACACATCTCACACTTCTGAGAGGCCTTGACCATAATCTCAAGATTACATTGCTTTAAGAGCTGCACAGACTGGATATGCACAAGACACTATCCTCCTGGATAAAGAATGTGGATCAGCCCAGAAGGATATAGGAGAGGAGTTGGGTCTTGGGACAAATTCCACAAGGGTCTAGATGTGAATCCTACCGTCCAAACTTCACTTTCTTCTGACACCAGAAATGCCCCCATGCTTTTCAAATGATGCAAAGCAAGTCCTCTGCAGCTCAGCTGGTGCACGACAGGGATTTATCAGACAGACACTGACAGCATGGAGGCTTTTCAGTAAGAGAGTGCCTGCTCGTAACATTTTCCATGCATTTCCTAGTGTTACTGGCAAGATTTTCAGCTCACTTGATATATTATTAACAGTAGCTATGAAACTAATTAACTGAGGAGAATGATATTTAACTGTCAATAAACCTTTGGATCTCTGCCCTCTTTCCTGCAAATTTAGACATCCATTCTGCAAAGCCTTCTCCCTCCCCTGGCCCTCAGCTTCTCTCGCTCCCCTTTTCACAGCTCCTTGGTGGCTCCTTCTTGTTTCCTCTGGCCCAAGCTGTTTGTTCTTTGCATCGCACCAAAGCTTGATGGATGCCTGTCTGCTCTCCATCCCCGTTTGGCAGGATACCACATCTCTCTCTGTTGCTCTGCCTGCTCCACGCTCACATCACTGTGGGGCTTTCTCCCAGGCTGGACCTCATCCCTCCTGTGTCTTTGGTGCTTGTTCCCAACAGGGTTGTGCTGGGCATTGCAGTGGTGGCATAACGTATCATAGAATCAAAGAATGGTTTGGGCTGGACGTGACCTTAAAGATCATGGAGTTCCAACCCCCCTGCCCTGGGCAGGGACACCTCCCACCAGACCAGCTTGCTCAAAGCCCCATCCAGCCTGGCCTTAACACCTCCAGGGAGGGGGCAGCCACAGCTTCTCTGGGCAACCTGTTCCAGCGTCTCACCACCCTCACAGCAAAGAATTTCTTTCTGGTATCTAATCTAAATCTCCCTTCTTCCAACTTAAAACCATTACCCCTTGTTCTGTCACTGCATTTCCTGACAAAGAGTCCCTCCCCAGCTCTCCTGCAGCTCCCTTCAGATATTGGAAGGCTGCTCTAAGGTCTCCCCGGAGCCTTCTCTTCTCCAGGCTGAACAACCCCAGCTCTCTCAGCTTGTTCTCACAGCAGAGGTGCTCCAGCCCTCTGGTCTGGGTTACCCTGAATGACAGCAGCCAAAGTAGGTGTCACAGAATCACAGATTATTCATTATTGGGAGGGACCTTTGAGACCATTGAGTCCAACCACAAAAAACAACCCCAAAAAACACTACCCCCAAGACCCCCCCAAAACCACAAAAAAACACCACACCCACCTACAAACAGACACAAACCAACAATCTCAGGCACTAGAGCATGCCCTGAAGAGCCATGTCTACATGTTTCTTAAATACCCCTAGGGATGGTGACTCCACCACCTCCCTGGGCAGGCTGTTCCAGTGCCTGACCACCCTCTCAGTAAAGGAATTCTTCCTAGTATCTAATCTAAACCTCCCTTGCTCCAACTTCAGACCATTTCCTCTGCTCCCGTCATCATTCCCTTGGGAGCAGAGGCCAACCCCCACCTCTCTACACCCTCCTTTCAGGGAGTTGTAGAGGGCAATGAGGTCTCCCCTCAGCCTCCTCTTCTCCAAACTAAACATGTCCAGTTCCCTCAGCCTCTCCTCGTAGGACTTGTTCTCTAGGCCCCTCACCAGGGGGCACAGACTTTTTTTCCCCACTGGAATGTTGTGCTGGATGTCTCCCTGCTGGGTCTTTGCTTAAGTTTGGTACATCTGAGTTTAGGATCAACAGCCCAGCTTTCTTGGACAGGCTGCAAGAGACAATATGGAAGCGGCAGCAGCCAAAATAGCAACAACAGAAGTTGCAGCAGGCAGATTAGTGGCAGCAGCAGGCTCTGATCAAGCTGTTCTCCTTCTGTCACCATTTTCATTGTGTAACGCTCCAAAGTGCTTGCTGGTTACAGGGCTTTAGCAGCGAGGAGGGATAAAGGGCAGCACAAAGCCTCCATCGGAATGTGTGAGCCTACCCGGCTGCTCGGGGCTGGAGCTGGATGCCTTCCCTTCGCCTTCATTCGCGGCACCATCAGGCCCACCTGACTCCTGTCCAAGTCACACATCCTGAGGAAACAGTTGATTTTTCCCTTTGATAATCTGGTTATAAGCCTGCGGCCGGAAGACAACGAAGCTTCTGCCATGGCACAGTCTGTTCTTGCCCGTGCCCCCTGCCTTTCCCCACAGCTTCTCAATCTGTTGGTTAACGTTAACCAACTTTGTCAGGGAGCTAAAGGTGTCTTCAAGCTGCAAAAATTCCTGCAAGTTTTGTGAAAACGGGAGCCGGCGTTGAGGAGGGAGAGCTGAATCAATGCCCATGCAGCCCCCCCCACTCCTTGCAAAATTCCTGGCTGCCACACGTCCCCGTGCGTTGCCCGGAAGGCAAGACGCATAAGATGGGAGCATCACCATGGGAAAAAGCACTGAAGAGATAGAGGTGGTCAGGAGAGACCCTCAGGAAGGAAGCTCTGTGATGAAGGCGCTGTTATGAGGAGATCTGATGGCTTTCAGAGGCAGATCTGTAGGAATTCAGGCTTAAT